CTCTCTCTCCTCCTCTCTCTCTCTCTCTCTCTCTCACACTTGTGCCATTTTAGGCATTTGCCCAGGCTCCCCTATTTGTCCGAAAAAAAAAAAAGCCACTTGAAATCGTAGAACATGATTCCAGACAGTAAGCTGCAGTGCCCCCCCGGGGTGGGGTAGGTAAGGAGCACCGGAGTCGTTCTTCCAAAGTGCCGGGCATGCTATCCGCGAAACAAATCTGTCCTCGTCATCTGGGGGCCACAAGCCCACCCGTCGCCATTATCTCCGATGCACGCACAGTTCTGCTCTATTAGCGATTAATTAACGGCGCATTCTAATTTCTTGTTCTTTTTATTTGTTAGTGCTGCCATTGTTTCGCGTGGCTGGGCGATTCCCACTTGACAAGAGGTCGAGGGGGGCGAAGCAAGTGGGAGGGCCGAAGGCTCTGCGTGTTGCATCTACCCACGAATCACTAGGTAGATGATATGTAGCCACAAAGCAACAAGCCCGCGTCTTGTCTGCAACCGAATGTTTTTGATTCTTCTTCTTCTTCTTCTTCTTCGCTTAACAAAGTTTAGGTCGAGACATTCATGTCCGTACTCTGACTCGAACTACCACGCCCCAGCCCGTGCTGCTCTCCCAGATGCCCATCTCATTCTCCCGCCGAAACGTAACCTCCTCCGCCGTGACATGCATCGACACGTCGTCAGCCACTTCCACAGCAGCATCCGGCCGAGAGGCCACCGCCGGTACCGGCGAGCCATTTCCCTCGCTGTTGCTTTTCCTCCCACCGCCAAACAAGTTCCACTTTGACTTGCTCTTTCTCGCCTCTGCCACCTTGGCTGCGACTGTTGGCCTGTCCACGACCACCACCTTGCGCTTCGGCTGCAGGCATTTTGCCAGTCTCTTGGCCATGTCTTCGTCCTTCCACCACAGTTTGTCCTGCTCCTCTTCATCCTCCTCCTTATCCTTGCCTCCTCTAGCTGCATCCTCTCCCCAGCGTCCCCAGCCATCAAACTCTTGTTGCTGCTCCGCGCGGCCGCTTACCCCCCGTCGTCCCCCGTCGTTTGCTGCAGGCTGCTTGCTGTCCGTCGGCATCATATTCTTTGTCGGTGCTACTCGCGTCCGCACCCTGACCACGCTCTGCGCATCCTCCGCCTCTGCAGGCGTCCAGTCCGCCGCGATGGCTCCCTCGGGAACGAGCGTCGCCTGCACGAGTTGCTCGTCGAGCGCGGCGACAGACGCGAGCAGCGCCTCGACGTGCGGCACCAGAAGCGCAAGGAGCTGCGAGTCGTGCTGGTCTTGTCGCGAGGCCCGCGAGGCCTGCTGCGCGCGAATCTGGCCGCGCAGCGAGGTGAGGTGCGCGGCGAAGAGCGAGTCGGGATGGATCGACGAGGAGCTGGGCTCTGGCGAGTAGGGCGGCGGGAGCTCACCGTCGCCGATGAAGGCTTCTTCTGGTCGTTTTGACATTTCGGAGTCATGTAGGTACCAGAACAAAAAGGCAACTGATGACCTGTCTGGTTGGTTTATGTAGCTTCGTGCCTGACTGTGGTAGACTGATGCAAGCAACTTACTAGGTAGGTACCTGAGTACCTGAGGTATACAGCGCAGCTCGAGGCGCACAGGTGACCTCATTCTTGCCTGACGAGGCGCCTTCAGCGCTCAGCCTCACTGTAACCCCAAACACCCCGCTGTAAACCCGGCTGTAGATCCGTCGGGCGACGCCCCGCCTCGTCCGGCCCGCTCAAGGTGTTGGTCTATTTACGGATACATAACGACCCCGAAACCTGAGACATGAACATGTTTGCGACACTCAAAAAAATAAGTGGCCAAGATGGTTATTTAACCCTCAAGGGTAGAGTTTATAAAGTTCGTAGTCGCGGCATCGTAAACGCAAGTCTATTATGTCATGTGGTTGACTGAATCTCTAGGACAAATTGGTATCAAGTGGTGAGACTTTGTTAATAAAGTGTGATGGTAAATACATTTTCAAATCAAAGTATCTATATAACCCAGAAGTACTGAAAAGGGACATATGCTGATAAGACATTCGATTTTCCTCGTTTCATCCATTTGGCTCTATGTTTTTCCCATCACAAACTGACACATTACATATATGTCTCGATCGTAGAAGGAACGCGGTTGGTAGTGGCTTAATTGGCAGCATCGGCAGCACCAGCAAC